AGCGGCGCCAGGAAATCCGATCAAGACTGAAGTGGGAATAATCCTGATTTTGGACAATGACGAGACGAAAATGACGACTGAGGTACGTTTTGAAGGCGTTATGCATGATGGTGGGAAAGAGGTCACAAGTGAGAGTGTACTCCTCGACGTTAGTGAAAATGGGTACTGAATCGCTGCGATATATTATTCGGCAAGACTAATATTAAGCGATCATATAAATTTCTATGTGACAGAGAGTACTCAAGTTTGGAAATCGACAAACCGTCAAGTGTTTACGAAGCGCCACTTCGATGATGCAAAGATAGGTGGACAAAGAAGAAACAAAATGGGCATAACGAGTATCTATCCATTTTAATCCCCGATATATGGTATCTTTCCTTCCAACCTTGAGCTCCAAATCATCTCAAACATTTATGCAAACTCCGCATAGAAACGCCACTGACCCAATTATATATAGAAATAAGCAACTTCTCGTCCAAGGCCAGCTACCTCAATACTCCGCCTCCTCCTTTCTCAAATCGTCTCCCCTCTACCTCCTTCCCGTCGACCCGCTTCAAACATCCTCGGTCGCGGTCTCAATGCGCGTCTTCTGCGGCCGCACCCTGCCAGGCCCACTCTGGGCCACAAGTCTAGTCCTGCTGAACCGTCCGCCGTTTAACGAAAGGCACCGAATACGCCATGGCGCTCGACCTCAGGATCAATTCCATATGGCCTTCGAGTGTCTCCTCCTACCATCGTGCCTCCCGCGCCGCGATGATCAAACCCCCCGCTCCGTGCAGCTGATTCTGGCTCGCGTCATCGTGCTCGTCCTCGTCGTCCTCCCCGCCGCAGGTCTGCGGATCCTCACTCAAGTCACGTCGATATGACTGATCAAACAAAGAGTTATTAGCTTTATGATAGTCTTCAGATGGGCCTCTTGCTCGCCTACCTTTTCCTTTGCCGAGAAGCCCCTTGACCCGCTGGCTCAGGGATCGCCTCACTCCACCTCGCTTCTTCTCCTGCTCCCCACTGGCCTCGGAGCCACGGCCGACTTTGTATCCCGATACCCTCACGAACGACGAGCTGTCGTGGGAATGGTGCTATGGAGGCGGGTCTCTCATCACCAGGTGTCCCAAGTCGGTCCACTAGGTGCTCTGGGACGCCAGGAACTCCTCCATGGTCGTGTGCAGCGCCATGGCGTTCACGATGTCGTACGGCGACCGCGCGTCCGAGCCTGGGGCCAGGCCGTTGATCGAGAAGCCCGTGGCGCCGGACGGGGCGAAGAGGTCGAGGAATTGGGGCACTTCTCTCTCGTTGGGTAAGGGGCCGTTGTTATTGGTTGGTGGTGGTGGTGGTGGTGGTGCTGCTGCTGCTGCTGCTGATTCCTCTCCTGGCGTTGGTTCTGGCGAGGAGCGACCTCGGGGCTTGAGCTTTTGGATGATCGCCTTGATCATCGACTTCTTGTCTGCTTCTTGTTGGTTAGTACAGCTCTTTTTGTTGGGGGTTTTTGATGCTCGGGGGGGAGGGGGGGGAGGGGGTGGCTCACTTTTTCGGGCGGATGGGGTTTGAGAATCTCTGATAGGCGACATGATTTCGAGAGGTCGATGTATAGATGTATAGGTGTATAGATGTATAGATGTATAGATGTATAGATGTATAGATGTATAGATGTATAGATATATAGATATATAGATATATTTATATTAAATGTGTGTATAGTCGTACAAGAAGTCCAGATGCATAAGGTAGATAGATGTACATTAAAATATGTATGTATATAGACGTCTCGAACTCCAGCGTGTAGGAGTCTCGACCGGCAGATATACGAACGTATGAAAATATCCTGATCTGGCAACAGCCGGGGAAACGGCAAGGGAATTTATAGCTCTTTTCTCTGCCGATGGGGAGTAGCTCTCGACCTGCCTTCTGGCTATCGTCGCGCGCTCCTGGACTATCTCCGATCGTTGTCGGTTTTGTCTTTTTTTTTTTTTTTCCCTCAAGCCTTGCATTAGAGGGACGCTTGACGAAAGAGAAAGAGAAAAAAAAAAGAAAAAAAAAAAGGATTGCATTGTGGAGGCTAGCTCTCGAGCTTTACAGGTACGGGTTAGCCACAACGGCGGAGACGCAAGCCATCTTCTCTGCTTTCCCTGGTACCCTCCC